GGGTATGTGGTCTAGTTTGCACCCCAGAACTTCATAACAGCATTTAACATGTAGCTATGTAGCTCATAGATGCTAGGTCCTAGCTAAAGGATTTGAATGTTGTCATTCAATTTCTTCAGTAGCAACAGCTGCAGGAGACCATCTGGGCTCAACTAAATCTATCTCTAATGATAGGGGGTCAAAAGGGTTAGATGTCTTTGGTAGGAAATTCTGTTTAGCTGTCAGGCATGGCAGGTAATCCTATTTGGCTAGGAGAGAGAGAGAGAGAGTGGCACATTTTTAGGACAAGTTTCCAACAGATCTTAAAGGAGAAAATGTTGGCCTTTCTGTTCTAAAGGGCAACTTGATGCCAAAAGGACTCCTGTGGGCAGCTTTTGATATTGTGGATTCAGAAGTAAGACAAATGGGCTAAAGTGTCGAGCACTCTTTGGTTGATTGTATCTGGCTTACATAAGGAGGCTTGGATGACAATTGAGACTTACCCATTAAAGGGTATATTAGTTTAGCTCAGGGGTCTCCAAACTTTTCAGCCCGAGGGCCGCATTAACTATCAAACAGCAGTTCGGGGGCCGACTACACAGTTGAGGTCCAAATAAAAAACAATCAAAACATGGATGTTGTTTTTAATTATTTATTTAATATTATTTTATTCAGTTATTATTTAATAACACATTGATACACTACACATGAACACCTGTATTAGTGTGAATGGTGAAATTGTTTCCTGGATGCCAAAATAGCAGACATTTCTGGCTTTAGATTTGTTGTCCCTAACATCAACAGTGACCTGAGATTATCATCGGACAAGTTTGTTCTCAAATTGTTCTTCACGTATTTCATTCTTGAAAATGTTCGTTCACACAGGTATGTTGTTCCAAAGATTGAAAGGTACCTTGATGCAAAAGTTTTGACATTAGGAGAGTCTTCCTTGGGCAAAAACTGGTAAAAACCCACCAGTCCTATTTTGAACTTGTCCTTAAGGAGGTCATTTGCTTGCAACTCAATGACTTCCAGCTGCAGTTCATCTGGGCAACTGGCACATCTGCTTCAAATGGGTTTTGAAACAATCTCACTTCTTCTGCCTTTGAATCCAAGTCAGAAACCCGCTGCTGAAACTGCAGCTGGAGGTCTTTGATGATCTCGCATGCAAATTTCCGTAATTTTTTTTCCGTAGACAAAAAGGTCTCCACGGGCCGGATGAGAAGGCCTCGCGGGCCGCATCCGGCCCGCGGGCCGTAGTTTGGAGACCCCTGGTTTAGCTCAATGATGAAAGAGGCATTAGTAATAGAAAATCTCAAGTTCAGCTCTCTGGTCTATGTGATTATTCATCCTATCTTTTTAAGAGGAAGGAATTTAAGTCTTAGACAACTAAGAATGGGAAAATCTTTTCTCCTATTTCTCTTGAAGCCTCTGGATTCTTTCAGAAGATAATGTTATCATGAAAGGAAGTCTCTTTCCTCTACTTGTAATGCTACAGCCGGGTCCTATTTAGAGACCTTAAATATGAGGGTGCATTTGTAGGGGCCTTGGAGTGATCTGTGAAGATCTTTACTCCTCTTCCTCTCATTGGTTTCCACCTTTTATTTTTCAAGGATGCTTGCCCTATAAAGGATGATAGACCTATAAATCAAGCAGGTCATTCAAGGAGATTGTCATCCAATTCCAGTCTCTAACTTGTCCTTTCCCAAACCAGTGCCTCTTCAAGAACCAGCCTCATGAGTCTCCTACAGCAAGAGATATTTCTCTGCTTCACTTGGTGCAGTGTAGTGCCTTCAGAATTCAGAAAAAGATTCTGTTCCCCATACTTCCTAATTCAAAAATGGCAGGTTAGTGTCTTTTAATAGAGCTTGGTTATCTTGTATGTTGCATCAAATTCTACATAGTGACTTTGACTTTGCTCATACCCTTCTTAGAACCCATTGATTGACTCATTGCCCTTCATTTGCAGGTTCCCCACTTCCTGTGCACTGGTTGGACAGACATGTGGAAGTAACCTTCAATGTCAGAAAAGCATTGTCAGTTTAACATGCTCCATTTTAGCCTCTCCATACCACAAAGTGTTTACAAAATATCTGAGATCTACAGAGACAACATCTAAATGTTTACCCATACCCCAATGATTGGCTGACATGAGGGAAAGCAACTCACAAAGTCTCAGATTTTCTTTAGTTCTTTAACTATTTTCCTCACTGGGCTTCCTAGTTAACCATAAGAAGTTAAATATCTCAGCCTAGTCAGCACAATTCATAGGGGCAGTTGTTGCCTTGAAGGCAATGAAAGCTGCCTTACATCCTGAAGTATTTTTACCTTTTTACACATCATATTAGATCTTCAGAATCATCCATTAGCATCAGAGAGGATATGTCTCCAATTGTTGAACATATGGCCTTATGCACTGTTGTTGACGCTGTTTGCCAGGCTTTGCTTTAGACAGTTTCAGGGGTGACTGAAATCTGTTTATCAGCCAAGTGTCCTCTCTTCTTTTGGGAATCTGAACATATGAATGCACTTGCTGATCTGTAAGGAATCTACTTCTCTGGAATGTAGAAATCCAGGAGCATATCTAAATAAGGACTGTAGTACTAACAACCAATCAAAGCATCGGAGCTAAAGGCGGACACCTCTCAATTATGGTTGGTGAATGTATGAACAGAGTTCCATGTGGTTTTTCTGCAAACTTCAGCTATGGGAGATACACCTCCAATGGTCTCAGCTTTTTACCTCGTGTTTCCCCATGCTCCTGGAGCTGTGAGCAGGGCTGTGGGAGCAGGCAATAGAGAGTGGGGCTGAGGCTGACAGGTGGGAGACTGGCAACTGAGGTATCTTGTGTGGAGCTCTGGGCAGGGGACCGAGACCACAAGCAGAGCTGGGTGGCACTCTATCTCTTTTCCCTCTCTTCCTCCCCCCCATGGGGCTGGCCTTCCCTAGTCCCACCAGCCTTCAATAGGGGCTGGCCTGGTCTAGTCACTTCCTGAATGTTACTCCATGACCCTCCAAAATTCGAGGACCTCTGTTTTATAGTAACTGGTTTTTTGAGATGTTCTGTACATGTGGGTCCCATGTAGACCCTCTTTGCCTGCAGCTTGAGTCTTACTGATAAGCCTGGTCTTATTGGTTAATCCTGTTGATTATATGCATTTCTCTCCACCCCTTTGCTGCCTCTGTAACAAGGGGGGTGCAGAGGCAGGAGCCAGTGCCTGTGGGAAGCTGGCTTTTAAGCTGGCTCCTGGCAATCACTGAATCTGCCTGTGTCTCCCACCCCCATGCTGCTGCCTCTGATAGAGAGGCAGCTGCATAGATGGTGAATGGGGGCAGACTGGAACCAACACATGTGGGGATCTGGCTCCTCTGTATCAGTCAGCAGTGCGAGGTGGCAGGGCGGTAGCTGGTCTGCACAGAGAGCTCCAGTTTTTAAGACGGCAGAAGCGTAAGGTGGCAGGGGGCTGCTGGGGAGCGGGGCCAGGAGCGCACTGGCTGCTAGCCCATCCCCAGGAACTATTGAATAGTCATGTAACAGCTAATATTGTATGCGGTTACACGACTATTCAATTACATGCTAACATTCCTAATACAAGGTGCACGTACAACACCAATGGACGCTAGCATTTTAAAGATTCTGCTCTCAAGTGCATGTGCACCCAAGAGCAGGCTCCACCTATACGGAACATATCTAAGATGCATAGTTGCAACAGGGTAAACTGCTGCTCCTCCGTACACATTAAACATCATACTCTTAAAGCATAATAGAAGATTATGAAAAGTGAAGGAATTTAATGTACATTGATTTAATTATTTTGAATGTGGCTGTTTTCTATTTAAGTTGTATGGCTTTACAAAGCATTTTAAAATTTGCATTGCCTTTCCTGCTTCTTCCTATGAAATTTGGGATGGATTGTCTTCAGTAGTCTTGTTCAGATATAAATGACTGAAAATTAGTAATCAATTCTGTTGATTCTCAAAATGGGAACAAGCTGTTACACTCTCAAAAGCTATATTGGTTCTGCAGGGATAATAGGAACCCCATTACGATAGGTACTATGGAAACACCCAAAGGGTAGACATGGTTCTTGCCTTAATGCGCATACAGTATAATTAAAGATGAGACACAAAGCATGTGACAAAGTACGAAGGAAGTGCAGTGGTAACAAAAGTAGGGTTATAAGGTTCATTGTACAACTGGATCTTTCCAAATATCTGAAAGATTCATTTAAATAAATAATTGGCTCTCCTTCGGGGTGAACAATTTTTAATAAATTTCTGAAGTGGCCCTAGGTTGCCTCAGAAAGGGTGGGCCCTCAGGCAAAAGGGCCAGAGCCAGGAGTCATCTTGTGCTCTCCTGCCCACAGACCCAGATTGGCCTGGGTGTGGGGCACGTGGGGTCTGCACCCTCCTCCTCCCAGCACCTAGAGAGAATCGCCAGCTGTTTTAAAACAGCCGGTGGTTCCCTCTGGTGCCACGTGCCCCTGGCGAGGGGAGGATACTTAGCATGCTCCTGTCCCCAGGTGTCAGTTGGCTTGGGGATGGGGGAGTGGTAAGGCAGCCATGGGCTGGATCTGGTCCATGGAGGCTGTTATCCACCTCTGCTCTCCTTACTCGCTATGCTGCATGGCCATCATTGATTGACCTTATTTCTTATAGGTGTTATATCTTTATGGGTCTTAAGAGTGCTCTCAGAGTAGTATATTCAGCCTTTAACACAGACTGAGATCAGGATCAAACCTTTGCTGCATAATTGTTCCACATATTATTTGTATGCTGTCAGATTAACTGAAATTAACGTAGTATTTTTAAACAAAAGGTGGTAGAATTATGTTCTTGGCTTTAGTGATTGTGACATGTCTTAACACACTATGCTGTACAGCTTGTGCACCAAAAAGTCTGATTCCTAACAAGGAACTACACTAACCTAAAGTATTCTAGATGAGTTTGCTCATACATAATACAAATGTGTTAATTATCAAGGCAATTTTGATGCTGATTTTTTTTTTTTTTTTAAACAGGTCAGTTTGCTGAAAATGAGACAAATGAGGTGAATTTTAGAGAGATTCCATCCCATGTTCTATCCAAAGTATGCATGTATTTCACCTACAAGGTTCGCTACACTAATAGCTCCACGGAGATTCCTGAATTTCCAATTGCACCTGAAATTGCACTGGAATTGCTGATGGCTGCAAACTTCTTAGATTGTTAAATAAAATAAATTATAATAAAAATGTAAAACTTTTTTCAGTATTTAATACCTGTAGTTCAGTTAGTAACTTTTTTCATATAGCATGCTGCGTGTGTGCGGTTGAGAACTGTAAAGTTCACTGCAGAGGCAATTATTGTCCGATCTGTTGCATAGCAATCATTCAAGTTTAAATTTGTTTTGCTGCTTACACAAATAAGGACCTTTCCACAAACAGACAAATAAAAAATATGCTAATTAGTAGATGGCTATGCCTTATCCTTTAGGTGTGGCAGAACTTTATTTTTTAATGTAATGATCATTTAAAATACTGGAGTTTAGGCCAGTGTTACTTAAAAGCTAATATTAGCTACACGTGAAGATGTTTAGTGTTTCTAACTTTCTTATTGTTGCAATTTCTTAAACCTTTGAACTTGATCATCTTACAAGGTAATTGTCCTCTTAGCATAGTTATATCAGTACTTGCATTATAACCCCCCTTTTAAAAGGTTTGTAAATTGGCTTAAACATTCACTTTGGGCTGAAAACAGTATCTAGAATAATTTGTATGCTTTTTTATTAATGTAATTTAACTATGTTTTTAGAAATGGAAAAGCATACCCAACTTATTTTTCAGGCTTGTACCTTTAATTCACTCCTTTCATTCATTTAAAATATTCAGATCACTTGTCTAATAAAAATGCATCCCTTCTGCTAATAGCTTATAGAAAGAATTAAATAGCCATGTTAGTAACTAATGCTAAATAGCACTTTTGTATGTGTACTCTTTTCTGTTATATATAAAAATGTAAGTTGGTTCACAATGTATGTCACTTGACCTAATATAGAAGATTTATAATAGGCTATGATGACTCTTTTCCACTGTTTGTGATCAGTTATGTAAACTCGGTACTTACTCTTACATCAAAGCCTTTTAAACTTACTAAATATTACTAGCAAAGAGGTAGTTCTTTTCATCTCACCTGTCTCCGCGTAACTTACACAAGAACAGCTGAATAGTGTAAGCCTTTTTTATTGACATAAAGGGGTATTAAACAGATATTTCAGAATCTTTCATAGATTTATTTGAATATATTCTATGTTTACTCTAAAGGTATGACTACACTACAGCGAAGATTGTCACTGTTGATCTTCCAGAATTAGCAGGTCTAGTGAAGACAGCTAATTCGAAGTGAAGGGGTACTCAGGGCAATGCTGGTAGTCCTCTTTCCACGAGGAGTAAGAGAAGTTGAAGGGAAAGTGTTCTGCCTTGGACTTCCTGTAGTGTGGACAGTGCCAAAAGTGGAATTAAGGTACTTTAACTTCAGCTATACAGTTAATGTAGCAGAAGTTGCGTATCTTAATTTGACCATATCCCGTAGTGAGGACACATCCCAAGATTTTAAGGAGAGAGGATTGGCAAGCCAATGATATTAATTCATTTTTCAGCAGTACATACAATAATCCCTTGTTCAATTCCTGTTGGTAATTGCCTGTCATACTCCTTCTCTCAGGTCACAAAATAAGATTCCATAAAATGATCATAGTAAGCACTGTGAAAATAAGTTGCTTTCTGTAAAAGGCAGGCTGCAGAATTCTATTGCCAAAATAATCCTTAACAGAGGATGATAAATGTAATGCATTTTACTGCTGAAGTTAGCTATTGGATTCTTGTATAATTATTTTCTGCTTTGGGTGTTGGCATGAGACATTAAGGTTGAAGTTAAAATGGCTTTGAGCACCTTGGAAATGCAATAGTGTTTGAGAATGCACTGTGCAGAATGTTCTTGCTCTTAATTTTTTTAACCTACAAATAATGGGGGAGTAGCGGGGAGGTAGTGCAAATTTACTTGATAATGACATGGGTATAATAAACAAATGGAAACCTGCAACACTTACTCCCTGAGTGCTAAATAAATTTCATAATGGAAATTTTTTAAAACTTAGTTTTTGTTGGTTTGTGACTGCTAATCAGATTTTTATATGTGGAATCACAGGGTTTTCACAATTACGCAATGAATACATTGTAAAGATTTAAAATGAATATTTGGGTTACAGATGGGCTATCTAGTTTGGATAAAATAACCCACCCAAAACATTTCAACGAAATCATTTATAGACTTTAGAATGTTCAGATCTTTCCTCCCCCATATTTAAGCATTGTTTGTTACAAGTGTTTCTGTTACTATCAACTACTGCTAAACTGACCTATCATCATTTTAATTTAACTGGAAGTGAAAAGTATTGAAAAAATGAACAAGAGCCAAGCCTGTTTTTAAAATCAATACTAAACAAGAATCTAGACTAATAGGTGAAACATGAAAATTTTAAGGTAAGCTTCAGAGGGGTAGCCAAGTTAGTCTTTAAGGTGCTACTAGACTATTCGTTGTTTTTTCTTAAGTTTTTCCTGTTACCGACTAACAAAACATGTAGCTGGCATCATGAGCTTTTGAGGGCAAAGCCCACTTCTTCAGATGACTGGTTTTGCCCACAGAAGCTACATGTTTTGTTAGTCTTTGAGGTGCTACTAGACTATCTGTTGGTTTTTAAGTTTTCCATTTTAAGGTAAGTTCATCTCTAACTTTGCCATAACTGGAAAAGTAGAGTCCGGATTATCTGACCTTCGGTAATCCGACATTCCACTTTATCCGACCTTACAGCTCCTGGGGACAAAGCGGCACTGGCAGGAGCGGCATCAGTGGCTCCAGGGCGTGGGCTGGGAGAACAGCCCTGCTCGCTGATCCATCACTCTCCTGGAGCTGCTGATGCCGCTCCTGCCAGTGCCATTTCGTACCCGGGAGTTGCAGGTCAGATAAAGTGTGGGCCGGGAGAATGGCCCCACTCGCTGCCCTGTTGCTCTCCTGGAACCACTGATGCCTGCAGCTCCCAGGGACGAAGCGGCGCCGGCAGAAGCCCAGGAGAGTGACGGGGCAGCAAGCGGGGCCATTCCCCCGGCCTGCGCCCAGGAGCTGCAGGGAGGGAAGGGGCCAGGGCCAGGCAGGGATGGGGACCAAGCGGCGCCGGCTACAGTAGAGTCCCTATCATCCTACATTTTCAGTAATCCGGCCACCTGTCGGTCCCGTTTAGGTTGATTAATCGGGACTCTACTGTAGTAATTATTTAACCAAGTCTAGTCATCAGCTAGATGTAGCTGGGAAATAAATCTTCGGCTCTATGTATTTCCTGGTTGATTGTAGGAAACAATAGAATTCTCTGTAAGTTATGAAGAAATGTTTTTGTTCATGGGTGATCATTTTTCACATACAATGGCCTGCCACCAAAAGAAGCTTTACACTTTGAATCATATGAATTCCATTCACCAGGGACTGAAATATTTTTTTAAAAATCTTCAGGTTCCAGGGATACATGCCACAAGGTTTAACTAGACCACCAGTTTGAGCTGCATGAATGTTTATGCAAATACAGTCAACATTAAAATGTTTTTATTGCCAAGTCGTCTCAGGATATGTGAAAAATTAGCACTTCAGTTTTTGATTGTTTGTATACAGGCAGTCCCCGAGTTACGCGGATCCGACTTATGTCGGATCCGCAGTTACGAACGGGGCCTTTCCTCTCCCTGGTCTCCAGCAGACCAGGGAGAGGAAGCAAAGCAGCGGAACACGTGGGCAGCTGACAGCCGCTCTGGGCGCTACTGGACCAACCGGGCAGCACCC